GCGTGTTATAATTGTGGGAGGACGGGGCATTTAGCGAGGGATTGTTATCAAGGTGGTGGAAGTACGAGATACAGTGGCGGCCGTGGAGATGATGGTGGGAGTGGAAGATACGGCGGAGGCAGCGGTGATGGTCGAGGAGGAGGGCGATGTTTTAATTGTGGAGATGAAGGCCATTTTGCAAGGGATTGTCCTAACAAATGATTCACAAAACAAAATCGGCGTTTCCTATATACTCGGTGAGTATTTCTTTTACGGTGTGTTGCAAAGGGGTTTATGAGCAAAGAAGAAGAAAGCCAGAAGTTCTTGATTTTTCCAGTTCTCAATTTTTTTTCTTCAATTCCGAGTGATCTGGTAACGTTGTATAATGTGTTGTTATTGTGCTTATTCTCCCATTCTTATCGATTCTTGTTCTTTCAATCCTTAATTCTTAGTCTTTACATTTGCACAGCATGAATCAGGAAAAAAAAATTTCTTCCTAGAAGTAGATTACCCGATCGTTTTTACTGTTCGATGCCTGGAAAAGTTAATACAAAAGGGTCATGTCTGTCGATGATTTTGGAGTACGTTGATAAAATTTATTCATTTTTCTTGAAATATTTTGGAAATGTATTTGGATTTGGCATATGGTGGTATGAACATTTAAGTACACTTTCGAATCCATTGTGTGAACTTGGTAGTAAAAGGAAGAGAATGTAATTTTCCTTAAAAGATTTGGTTAGAGCAGTCAAGTCTACAGAACATGTGTACATTGTCAATTAACTAAGAAAAATAATGAACATATAACCTTATAACTATTACATACTAATAAAAAAACATCTTATGAGAACATATAATCCGATCCTTGTACTTGGTTCAAATTAACTAATATAGGATAACATATCTCGGAATGTTCTATTTTTTTCAAAAAAAAAAAAAAAAATCTTGAAACATTCACAATATTGTGGACATTGTTAATTTCATTGTTGTGGATACCTTTGAAAAGTACATTGAAGAAAAAGGAAAGACTTTGGTGAGATTTGCGGGTCTCCACTTGCTGGTTAGCTGTATGAGGGCCTTAAAAGTCCTTATCTTGCTTTGAGAGGTGGATGTTTGATTGCCTAAGATTAGATACACGGTCATTTCATTACAAGATTTTGATCAGCATATTGTCTTAATCTCAAAGGTTCTGCTTATCTTCAATTTCCGGTCTGCTGGACAGAAGAAAAACCAACAATGGTTTACATCCAAACTGTAACTCTTCTGTATCGTAAGATGGTTTAATGATTACCAATCTTTTGGCCTTGAAACTTGAAAGTGGAGTGTTTGAGGCATGCATTTATTTATTGATTAATAATCGTAATGGATTCGGCATTTTAATATGGTATAGTTCAGTTTGAATCTCAACCATCATTAAGGTATTGTTTTTTCAGAATGTCTTTGTGCGGTTTTAGCGCCGAGAGATCCTTAACGATATGGATATGGGTCTTTTTTGCATAAATATTGGCATATGATCTATTAATCGATTAATCTAGATCGAATATTGAATGTTAAAGAATCCAGATGACGGGAATCAATAATCTTAGATGAATCAATGGAAAAACAATAGAAAGGGAGAAGAGGAAAGTTGAATTTAGGGTTCGAAGAAAATCATAGTATAGCAACGAGACAAGCTTTGATTTTTCATTCATGAAACTCTATCGGGTCAAGGCCCAATACACTTCATTTATAGGCTAAAAGTAAAAGGGGACTTTGTTAATAAACTAACAGATTCAACAAATTATGTTAAGTATTAACAAAATATTGACTTATATTTCTAATATTTATCATACTTTCTTCAACTTGATTTCTTCTAAATCCACTGTCGACGAAAGTCTTCAAATTATTAAACAATCAAGAGTTTTAGTTAATACATCTGCAATTTGACATTAAGTGGGCATGCGATTAACTTATAACATTTGGGATAAAACTTTTCTCATTCAAAATATGAATCAAAGTCCACATGTTTAATCTTGACATGCAATATTGAATTTGTTGCAAGTGTCATAGTGTTTGTGTTAGTACACTAAATAATGGGAGAATCTTCAACACTTGATTATGGGTCGGTGTTTCGTGCGTCCTCTGACGATGGTTGGCTGGTTGGGCAAATTATGTTGTTGATTGTGTGTACGATGATCAGTGGCGATACTAGAAAATTTATTTTGGAGTATCAAATTTAGAGAAAATTTATTTGTTGAGGGTCAAAATTAAAAATTGTATAAAGAATTCTTTCAAATAATGAGTGTCAATTTATATTTAAAGATACCAATATTTTTTAAAATATATTTATTTATTTTTTTTTAAATTTTTTATATTATATTTATATAAAAAATTATTTTTCAAAAACTTTTGGAGTATGTTTTGACACCCCTCATAATAGGCGGGCTCCGCCCATGTCGATGATTGTGTATTTTAGGAGAAATTTAATATCTTGGAGCTGTAAATGTCAGAAGTTTGTTTCTCGATCTATGACTGAAGTCGAGTATCGTGGGATCGTTGACATTGTGTCTGAGGTGGTCTGGGTGCAAGCTCTCTTGAACGATATGGGGGTTTCATTGTTGGATGTTTCTGTAACATGAATGCGGTGATGATGAGTGCTAATCCTATTTGTCATGCTCGGTCGAAACATGTAGAGCTACAGTAAAACTGACGGCTTGACTTGTTCAAAAGTAAACTATAAATTACAATTTTGTGTAGTTGCCAAAATACCCGAGAATCCAACAACACAGTAACATATAAATTTAACATTAACGATTATTTAAAAATAAAATAAAATTCGTTTGACATCACTATAATTTGGACTTCAACTGATAAAAGTAATTGGTATCAGCTGATATAACGACAAAACAACTAGTGTTGTTTAGTAATTGTTTGGTTGTTACAAAACAACCAGTCTTGACTGAAGCTACTTTTCTCGCTCAATCCTCCCAACAAACGTTACTAAGGATGCCCCAAACCTATCAAATCTTAGGAGCAGAAGCACTACACATTTATTGTCACTAGTTTAGATCTTACATGTTAAATTCTTATTCATTATGTTTTTATTTATGATTGTTTCATATAAATTTCATTACTTACGAATATGATTTATTTAATTTATAAGTATATTTTACATTATAATTAATGTATTAAAAATAATAATTTTACTGAATCATAGCAGATTCGGTGGAGCAGGTTTGAGGCAAGTTATGGTGTCGTAATTTTTTATCGGTTTTATTAAAATAATAATAACAAAATCGATAACGTTTTTTCTTAATAGTATATTAAGATTATCGCACGTGAGATTTTTTCTATTGTGTTGATACACTTTTTTTTTAAATAAATGGTGTCAGTACCACATTTCTCGATATTAGTGCATACATATATTGTTAATATGTTGAAATAGTGTCTTACAGTTTGCATGGTTTTAGAAATGGTAGAAAATGTGGATTTTTTTAGCAAATCCGTGAAAGAATTCACCATGCATTTAATGAAACCATCAAAATTATTAAAACATTAATTTATAAAATTTTAAGAAAAAATAAATTTGTAAATTTTAAAAATAAAAATATATTTTTAATTAAAAATAGATAATACTTTTAAAAATTTTAAAAGAGAGTAAATGTCCTCCCCGTTCTCTATCGATTCATCTCTAATGATGCATGAATACAAATGAATTGTATTTTGCATAAACTGCAGTAAGTAAAAGTGAAATCTAACTATAGGGATTTTGACTAAGAACTTGTGTTTGCAATTACTGTAAAATATATTTGAATTTTATTACTTATCGGAAATGTAAAATACAATTTGAATAAAAATAGAGAAAATCGTCTCAGTGACCAAAAATACCTTATAATATACGATTTTAACCAACTTTTTTTGGATTTACCAAAATGACCAATAAAATCGCAACGCGATATCAAAATCGCAACGCGATTTAGAAAATCGCAACGTTAAAAAGAAAATCGCAACGGTCAAAAGAAAATCGCAACGCGAGCTTCCAAGTTCGCAACGCGATTTAGAAGAAAATCGCAATGCGATTGATAGAATCGCAATGCGATTGATAGAATCGCAATGCGATTTATAGAATCGCAATGCGATTTATAGAATCGCAATGCGATTGAGAGAGTCGCAACGCGATTTAGAAGAAAATCGCAATGCGACTGAGAGAATCGCAATGCGATTTATAGAATCGCAATGCGATTGAGAGAATCGCAACGCGATTTAGAAAATCGCAACGTTAAAAAGAAAATCGCAACGGTCAAAAGAAAATCGCAACGCGATCTTCCAAGAATCGCAACGCGATTCCAAGAATCGCAACGCGATCTTCCAAGAATCGCAATGCGATAGTCTACAGTGTCGTTGCGATTTTCCAATTCGCGTTGCGAGAGTGTACAGTGTCGTTGTGATAGTTAAAAAAATAGTTAAAAGATTTTTGTTTCTTAAGAATTTTCTCTAAAAAGATAGTATCCGCGCGGACGTGTCGAAGACACGTATGACCACGACCACGACCACGACCACGACCACGACCACGACACGTATATTATAAGGTATTTTTGGTCGCGATTTTCTCATAAAAATATGATTAGTTAATTTGAACTTAATTAGTTTGAATATTTATTTCTAAATTTTCCATTATTTTAAATTTATTTTTGACAAAATTTGAATCATATGCTTCTCTAATACTATAAAATATATATGTAACTTATTTTTTTACTACAAATTTATTCTTTTTGCAATTTAATCGCTTAACTTTAAATTTTATCCAATTTAGTATTTATTGTGATTTTTTTCCAAATTCTTTCTTTCTATAGATCCTTGATTCATTTATATCATCATCAATACTTTTTCCCAAAATATATTTTTAAAAACTAAAATAAAAATATATTTAAATATATCTTTTCTTACATATAAATGAATATCTAACACTTAAATATTCAGAATATAAATATAAATCGGCAAGTTACTATCCATTCACACCAAAAACAAAATGAACGATGAATTAAAAGGAAATATCAAACTCATATTCCTCTAAGGCATATCAACAACACCCAAATAAAGAAACAGCAGCGCTCAACAACAAAACAGCTCCATGGAATCTAATAAACATTATAAATAACTTTATTTCACACACTTTATCTCTCTCTAGATACCGCAATTCTTGTTCTCCTTAACGTTGCCGTCCATGGAAGCTTGCTTCAAGCTGCAGTTTTATTTATGTTTTAAAGAATAAACATATTAAGGGGTCATGTTGAGCTTGGAGGCACAATATTCAGAATACATTTTGGATTCGAATTTGGGTGGATTTGCTTCATTGATGAGCTTAGGGTGAGGCCCTACTTTTAGCTTCGACGGTGGCTCCAGAAACACCGGCCATGAGATTCTTGTCCTCTCCTTGTTCACAGTGGTTCTGTGCAGCACACTCTTGTACATCCCATTGCTCAGAATCTGTAAAAAAGTAAAATAAAATCTAGTGTATCACTAACAAATCTAGTATCATTTATGATTTATGAAAGGAGTAGTGAAATTGAAGAATATATAACAAAACAAACCTCTATTTGGTCTCCAATGTGAACAATGAGTGCGTTAGGGATGTACTCAACATCATACCAATGCTCATCTCTACAAGCTTGGAGGCCCTGCACATCATTAGGCACTAGTACGGTGAATGCACTCATGTCGGTGTGAGGCGGCACCCCGAGAGCCAGGTCCGGTCGAGGGCACGGCGGATAGTAGTTGATCTTCAGAAGGTAAACCATGTCGTCCCCACCCAGAGCTGCCTTCATCTCATCCCCTTCTAACCCTAAGCCTAACGACAGGCATCTGAACAGCTTGTTCGCCACCCCACGCATGTGCTTCGCGTATTCCTCGTTAGTCTCTCTGCCATAATTTTTTTTTAAAATGAAATCAATTAGTTACATACGTCGGTCCAGGCATGTATGTGATGGAAAGTGTGGTTTTCGAACCTGTAAGAAGGTGGGTTTTTAGGCCAAAACTGGTAGTTAACTTCGGAAGGAGGCCAGATCTTATTGAAAAGATGATCAACCCAAGATCTTTTCCCTTCTTCTTCTTTTTTAAGCTTTGTTCCATAGCCTTCAATGGTTTGAGAACCCGGTGGCTTTGCGTAAGCTTCTTTTTCTTCTTGTGGGAGCTCAAAGAAAGCCTGGCCTACCTCTTTCAGCTTCCTTATGGTTTCATCAGGTATGCCATGGTTCACGACTTGGAACATTCCCCAATTGCTGCTCGCTTCCACAATGGCCTTTACCAAGTTTTCTTCATCGGGATCGCTTAGATCGATGACCGGGACCTCGAGCACCGTCCCGAGAACCGTCGTCAGCGCCGGCTGCTCGTTGCTCGACCTAATGAACTCTTCCGGGATTGTTTCTTTCGACAAATTAGCAATGTCTTGCACTCTCTCGACCTCCATTTTGCTTTTCTCTGGTTTAATTTCCTCTCGCTTGGATGTTTAAGATAGCTTCACACTTAGGGTGGTCTAGATTTATAATTATTTAGGAGAGGGAACATCTAGCATAAAACCAAACTTTAACATCTAGATTTTTAATTTTATTAAATGACATTTATTATTAAATTGACAACTCTGACAAAAACTAATACGTAATTGGAATAAAACCAAACTTTAACCCTTGAATCATTTTAACATCAATTTTATTTACCATATAAAGTTTAATTCGATTCGAACTTATTAAACGACCTTAGTGATAGTAACAAGGTATTATGCTTCTTAAAAGTTTTAAATTCGAACAATTGTATCTACATGATACGTGTTGTTAATCGCTAATAAATTTTTTGAACATATACTACATCATCTTAGACTATTAAAAAAATTAATTAAATTCAACTATATTATTGTTATTATAAAGATTGAAATAATTTAATTTTATATTAAAAAATTCTCAAACCTTTTTCGTGGGATAAGTTATATCCACCCAAAACTTAGGTGGATTTTATTTCATTGGAGTAATTATAATTTTCACGTGACAAGGAAATATTAATTTCCAAAAATACAGATATCAATCTTAATTGGTAATCTTTAGGGCCCACATATAATCTCGTCTGCTAATTTTTATAAATGTAGTATGTTTGATTAATAATTTATACTTTCTATTATCATCATAAACCGATTCAAGTAATAAATAGTTTAATATCACTTAAGCGATATCTTGAGTTTGATTCCTTATGTATGCAGAAAATCCATGCTGAGAGACTAACCCACCAAAATCAGGTGTGTGACTAGAGTTGATCCGAATTTGTGAAGACGAAGCCTTAGAACCGGAAGGACAAAAAATATTTTTATTAAATAAGAGATGAAAATTGATATTATTATTCAAGTAATCATGTATTTTTTAAATTTTATAATTAATATTAGGATGAAGCTGGCACGCTCGACGAGCGTTGACGAGTACGATAAACGATGATCACCATTAAAATAAATTATAAAAACGTTAAATTATAAAGTAATAAACATATAATTAAAAATTAATTAAAAATCTAAATGTAATTTAATTAAAATACAATATTTATAAAACATTAGCTTTTAGGGTAAATTATACCATTGACCACATAACTATTTTCCCTTTTTACTTTAATTACCGATTTTTTAATTTTATCAATTGGGTCACCTAACTATTTAAATATTGTCAATCAAGCCACCTGCCGTTAAATATTAACGGAGAAGATGATGTGGCAGTTAATAAAATTTGTATAATTATACATTTAATCCTCATTACTTACACGATCTATTAATTTGGTCCTAACTTTTATTTGATTTAATAAATTTTATCTTTAATTTGATGGTGACATATGTCAATGTGTGTTTGAATTTTTTAAAATATTTTTTATATAATAAATTTTCCATCCAATCAAGTGGTGCCACATGTCACCAAATGAATGAATGGAAAATAAATTAAATAAATAAACATTGCTGGTGGCATTAAACATGGGATACAAGTTGAAAAACTGAGCACCTTAACCACTAAGCTATACCACTAAATTTGTCTAGTATAGAAAACATAATTTATATAATTTATAATATAGTTAATGGTAATAAATGACCTTATAAAGACTCAAACATGAAATAACTAAATAGTATGAAAATATAAAATATATATAAACAAATATTATAATTGATTAATAAATGAATATGTTTTATTTATAATTTAAATCACATTTAATGCAAAAATAAAATAAAAGTGAATATAATATGTTATAATTGAAATGTATCATTTTACATATTTTAAATTAATAAATTATCTTCATTATTCTAATTTTATTGAACTAAAATGTATCATATCTTATATTTTAAAATATTATAACATCGATCGGATTCTAATCTTATTTAACAACTAAAATAGACTAATTCAATAAAATCAAATTTCCTCTAAAAATTTCTTCAAATATATAATGAATAAATAATAAAATATAAAAATCTTACTCTAATCAGTATATAAACAAGTCAATACATAAGTTAAAATACTTACTATCATAAGCCTTCAACGATCAGGAAAATTCTAAGTTAACGAAGCTCTTTGTTATATTTCAATTATCATATATTAAAATCATTTTTATTTTTTCGTTAAAATTATTTTAAAATATTAATAAAATACATTCACATATTAATCAGTTATAATATTTGTGTATATATATATATATATATATATATATATATATATATCATATTATTCAATTATTCCATGTTGAAGTTCTTATTAGGTCATGTTCCCTTCTTTTATTGCCATTAACTATATATATTATGTCGTGATAAGTTTGTCATTTGAATGGTGCAACTCAGTGGTTAGGACGTTTTTGCTTATGAACTCTGTTTTGAAAACCGGACTGGCCGGTTCAACTGGGAATCGTTGCTTAGTTCGGTTCAATCTAAACCGGTTGAACCGCTATTAGTGAACCGGCCAGAACCGCTGAACCGTTCGAACCGGCCCGGCTGAAAACCGGAAAAAACCGGGATTTTTGTTTTTGTTTTTTTTAAATTAAACCAAACAATGTCGTTTGTTAAACGAGCCAAGTCGAACTCGAGTATTGCTGAGCTCGACTCGAACTCGAGTATTGCTGAGCTCGACTCGAACTCGAGTATTGCTGAGCTCGACTCGAACTTGAAAACTTTAAAAGTAAGCTCAACTCAACTCAAACTCACAAGCTAAAAATTATCAAGTTCAACTCAAACTTGAAATATAATATTGAAATTTGAACTCAAAAAGGCTTGAACTAAAAAAAATTAGAAGCTCGATTGAAGCATAAAATTCGAGCTTGATTGAAGTGAAAGAATAGTTATATAATTATAGTTATATAATTTTGTTATGATTTTTTAACCCCAAATTTATTTTTTAATTATAGTTATATAATTATATTTATTATTTAATATGTTTTACCTTAAATATTATGTTGTAGTTAATTTAAATCATTTTGTTTCACTTGATTTTATGGTTTTTAACTTATATATGTTATGACTTGCTTTGAATATGACTTGTGATATAAAAAATTATTTTTTATTAAATATTTTTGGTATTTTTATTTAATTTTTTAAATAATTATGACGTCGTCCGATTCTTCCGACCGATTGGACTGGTTCGACCGGTTGAACCAGTGAACCGGTAGCATGACCGGTTCGCTAACCGGTCCGGTTCTGAAAACCATGCTCACGAAGCCTTAGAACCGGAAGGACAAAAAATATTTTTATTAAATAAGAGATGAAAATTGATATTATTATTCAAGTAATCATGTATTTTTTAAATTTTATAATTAATATTAGGATGAAGTTGGCACGCTCGACGAGCGTTGACGAGTACGATAAACGATGATCACTATTAAATTAAATTATAAAAACGTTAAATTATAAATTAATAAACGTATAATTATAAATTAGTTAAAAATCTAAATGTAATTTAATTAAAATACAATATTTATAAAATATTAGCTTTTAGGGTAAATTATACCATTGACCACATAACTATTTTCCCTTTTTACTTTAATCACCGATTTTTTTATTTTGTCAATTGGGTAACCTAACTATTTAAATATTGTCAATCAAGCTACCTGCCGTTAAATATTAACAGAGAAGATGATGTGGCAGTTAATAAAATTTGTATAATTATACATTTAATCCTCATTACTTACACGTTCTATTAATTTGGTCCTAACTTTTATTTGATTCAATAAATTTTATCTTTAATTTGATGGTGACATGTGTCACTGTGTGTTTGGATTTTTAAAAATATTTTTTATATAATAAATTTTTCATCCAATCAAGTGGTGCCACATGTCACCAATTGAATGAATGGAAAATAAATTAAATAAATAAACATTGCTGGTGGCATTAAACATGGGATACAAGTTGAAAAACTGAGCACCTTAACCACTAAGCTATACCACTAAATTTGTATAGTATAGAAAACATAATTTATATAATTTATAATATAGTTAATGATAATAAATGACCTTATTAAGACTCAAACATGAAATGTCTAAATAGTATGAAAATATAAAATATATATAAAAAAATATTATAATTGATTAATAAATGAATATGTTTTATTTATAATTTAAATCACATTTAATGCAAAAATAAAATAAAAGTGAATATAATATGTTATAATTGAAATGTATCATTTTACATATTTTAAATTAATAAATTATCTTCATTATTCTAATTTTATTGAACTAAAATGTATCATATCTTATATTTTAAAATATTATAACTTCGATCGGATTCTAATCTTATTTAACAACTAAAATAGACTAATTCAATAAAATCAAATTTCCTCTAGAAAATTTCTTCAAATATATAATGAATAAATAATAAAATATAAAAAAACTTACTCTAACCAGTATATAAACAAGTCAATGCATAAGTTAAAATACTTACTATCATAAGCCTTCAACGATCAGGAAAATTCTAAGTTAACGAAGCCCTTTGTTATATTTCAATTATCATATATTAAAATCATTTTTATTTTTTCGTTAAAATTATTTTAAAATATTAATAAAATACATTCACACATTAATCAGTTATAATATTTGTGTATATATATATATATATATCATATTATTCAATTATTCCATGTTGAAGTTCTTATTAGGTCATGTTCCCTTCTTTTATTGCCATTAACTATATATATTATGTCGTGATAGGTTTGTCATTTGAATGGTGCAACTCAGTGGTTAGGACGTTTTTGCTTCCCCCCTCAAGTATTGGGTTCAAACCCCACCAGCAGCCGTTATTGATTCAATTTATTTTCTATTCATTCAATTGTTGACACATAACACCATTTGATAGATGAAAAATTTATTAAATTAAATAAAAAAATTAAAAAAAAAACATCAAATCACATATTGACACATGTCATCATCTAATTAAGGATTAAATTTATTGAAAATTAGGACAAAATTAATAAAATGTGTAAGTAATGAGGACTAGATGTATAATTATATATAT